AGGGAGGGAGGGAGGGAGGGAGGAAACACTATGGACAATCCTCAATTTCCACCTCTTACTGACAAGAATAATTTAATAATCACCAAACTTGTATAATCACCCAACTGAAGGAGGGGTTATGTGGTTTTTCCCCCAAGGGGACATTTGGCAATGTCTGGAGGCGTTTTTGGTTATCGCACCTGGAGAAGGGTGCGATTAGCATCTAGTGAGTAGAGGCCTGGGACGCTGCTGAGCATCTCACAAAGGACAAAGCAGCCCTGAAACCAAGGATCATCCAGCCCACAATATCAAGAGTGTTGAGGCTAAGAAACCCTGACCTATAAGAAAATGAAGATTCACTCTTCATATGAAGGAGGAGGGGAAAGCAGGGACCAGAAGATAGGACCGCAAGGACACGAACCACGAGAGGACCCTCTGGGAGTGTCAACTTAAAAAGAGAGCTGACTCTGGGTGGTGAACACACAATGCAATATACAGATGATGTATTATAGAAATGGACACTTGAATCCTATATAATTTTACTAACCATTGTCACCCCAATAAATTTAATTAAAAAACAAACAAACAAAAAAAGAGTTGGAACCGTGCTGTTCATATTGTTTATGGTTCAACATGGTGGTGAAGTGTTTTCCTATATCATTAAATATTTTTTGAAATATACTTACCTGTAGGAGAATCTCCAAGACTGTCCTTGAACTCTTGGGGACCTTGGATCTATGATTCTTCCCCTTGTTCTAATAGATCACTTTAAGTTTAGAATGCAACAATGTTCTGAGAATAAAACCTTGAGGTCACGGATTGCCATCTTAATTCTACAATTTTCAAAAAGAGTGAAGGACTCTTATATTGGGCTGTCAGAAAAGTCATGACATATTTTTTTGTCTTTTTGTTGCAGAAATGCATCATGACTGTTCCGACAACCCAATATTTTCATGTACTCCAAATGTTTAAATGGGCAGAATCTTAGATTCAATACCTTCTGTATACTCTACTGTAGTTGTGGGTGAATATGTAATGAGGAAGCTAAGAACAAAACCTAAGGAGGATCAATCTAAACAATATGGGGAATGGGAATCCAGTGCTATTGAAGTAGACTTGGTTAGAGATAGTGGTGGCTTAGATTAGGATGATAAGGTTGAAAGAGGTTGAGAAATGATTGTATTCAGGATCTATTTTGAAGACTTGCTAATGGATCAGTTGTGGGGTATAACAGAAAGACTATAATAAAGGATAATTGAGAGGTCTTGGCCTGAGCAACTGGATAAATTGTGATGCCCTTTACTAAGACAAGATGTGGGAGGAGCAGTATGATATGATAGATCAATAATTCTATTTAGAATACATAAGTGGAATGTGCATTTGTAAAAAGCTCTTTAGGTGATCTTGATATGCCTTTCTTTTTTCCCCATACCATCAAGTTGAGAACCAACCCGCTAATAGAACACTGGGACTCTCATAGCAGTGCATTTTCCATATACTGAGGACATAACAGATTAACTTCTACACAATGGAAAGGAAGAATCTTTACCTAGAGAGATGACAGTCTCATAGGTTTCCTGCATTACATCATTGTAGAGGATCCTCTGAGTAATGTTCATTAATTTCCATTCCTCCTCGGTAAAAGACACAGCCACATCTTCAAATGTCAACAAACTCTAAAGAGAATAGGTTGTAGTTCAGTACTTGCCACTACAGAAGCTGTCCTATCATTCATTTCTGAATTACATGGCAGGCCAGTCACTGAAGTTAAGTGTATAAGATTTAGGGGGAAAAGTGAGATGGCAGAAAAAGAAGGAGGCAAAGACATTAGTTAACAAGCTTGGGAGGTGCCCAATTCCCACTGTGCCAAGCCTAGTTGCCTGAAGGACATCTGGAGCTAACATGGCTCAGAGCACCTGCCAGGCACTGTGGGTCTTGGGCAACAGAGCAAAGCACAGACAAGGTCACATTCAGGCTGCCTGAAAAAGCTGAAAAGTAAAGCTTACCTGGGACTCAGGCAAGATGGGCTCAGATGGCATTTTCCAGTTTTGGGTGCTTTTCTGCTCAGAAAAGGCTACAATCTGTTGAGCAGGCAGAGCTGTGGGTGGAAAACAGCCAGAAGTTTTCTTTTTTGCTTATGAATAGCCTGAGCTGATTTCTAAAATATAGAACATCAGGATTCCTTCAATAGATGGTTTACCTTTACGTGTGTGTATGTGTGTATGTTGCCCAAAGTGGCTTTCTCATGGTAAATAAGAACCAAATATCCACTACTCCATAGAACTGGTTCCCCAGTTGATTGTTTCCCCAGATTTCATAAGAGCAATTAATAGAAGGAAAACCACTGTTTTTTCCTCTCATAAAATAAGTTGTTCACTGGGCTGGGCAAGAATTACAGGTGTTTGAAAATGAAAGACTCAAGTCTTCCAGTAAACGGTAGGAAATATGGGACATTTTTGTCTTTTATTATTTTTCCCTGGTGTATAATTCTCTTCCCATTTTGCTGACAGCCCATTTCTGATTCAGGTGAGATGACCCCACCTGTCCCTGTTCCATCTTCTCCTCTCAAATTTCTCAGGAGCAAGGTCCACAATGTGAATACTAGAGTTCATTTGTTTGGATATTTCTGTACCCTCACCTTCACCCACCATTGACCTATTGTACTCCCATCTGACAGACATCATAACTGCTAGCATGGTGGAGCACCTGGAAAATTCCTATGACAATCTAGCCGAAACAATTACTATGACAGCTCCCAGAAGAGAATTATTATGAAGCTCCTCACCTCTTTCACACACAGGCTGGGTTTCTTTGTGAGTATTCCAGCCAAGCTGTTCTTGCAGTACCCGGTTTGTATTCCAATATTCTTTCTGGAACTCACCCATTGGTTGGGGCTCTGCTGACTTCCGCTTAAATCCTGGGGCCACTGCTTTTCCTCCCAAGAGTACTGTCTCTTTTCCCAAGTCATGGACTGTGACCTAGAAATAATCCCCATCCTCATTAGCACAGAATTTACTTCGGGTTTTGGGGTGGTGGTGGAGGGACAAACAGCAGTAGAGCCCAGATTTGGGAAGTATATGACATTTAAGGAAGTAATAAAACACTGAAAAGGTATTGTGCCACAATTTTCTCACAAAGAACTATATACATCATCTGGGAAAATTAGGATAAAATGAAAAAAGCTGTGACTGTAGCCAGCCTCCACCCCTCTGCAATAGTCACAACTTAGGTCATTAGCAGAGTGTGGGCAGGCTGCCTGTTTTCATGCTGCCTTCACTGGCTTACTTCCTTGACTTAGATCCTTGCCTGAGTGGATTTCTATCTTCTAGTTTTCTCTAAAAACTAAAGCAATGAATAAAAAAGGTTTTCTTGTCAGTCAGATTTGCCATTCCTCACATGACTAGGGAAGAATTTCATGGAGAAATGGGACGCAATGAAGGAAAAATTGGGAAAAGTTGGGCTCTAAGTCCCTCCACATGATTCAGTTGTAACAAGACAATAAAAATATGTTCTGCCCTGTGGTCTTCAAGGTAAGCTCCTGAGGAAAGGAAGTATGTTGGTATCTCCTGAGGACATACTTTGGTTCCCCACTCACCAGCAAAGCCAAGAACAGACCATGAAAGGAGGACAATGGAGGTTCTTTTCCTGACCCAGAGATGTGTGTTCCCATCATGGAGGGCACTACCCCTCAGCCTCTTGTTTCTCACCACTTCTCTGTAAGGATCTGGGCCCGGACCCTAGGCCAGACAGACTCACGTTAAAAATTATACTTCAGCTACTCCCAAAGACTCTAAAAAACTAACAGCTCCTTTTTGCTTCTGTATACCTGCTTTGCTTCTGCCGGGGAATAAAAGGTTAAAGAAAAGACATTCCTCAGTTCCCCCTTCCTCCTCTTGCTTCTATCTTAACATANTGTTCTGTACACCTGAAACTAACAATAAAAAAAAAGTTAGTATGTTTGAAACCAACATTTGTGTAACTAGTTGCACTAAAATCTGAAGAATACGGGGCCAGTCAAGTGGCTTAGTTGGTTAAGATTTGGCTTGGGAGTGTGAGCACTGAGCAGCAGGGCTGCCGGTTCAGTTCCCACATTGAGGGTCGGTGACGCTGTGCCCTCTACAGCTAAGATGGTGAATAACAGCTAGACTTGGAGCTGGGCTGCTGTGAGTGGCCAGCGACAGCATAGGCTGCATTGTTGCTGCAGTGGGCTGCCGTAAGCTACCGTGACTGGCTGGCAGCCAGCCTGAGCAGCCATGAGCCGCTGTGGGCAGCCATCCAATGGCCATAGAGTGACTGCTTCACCTGGGAAGAGTGCAATGATGATACCAATAAGGGCCAGTGAAGCAACGTCCTCCACAACCAGACTGAAGAACAAAAGGACAATAACTTGTCTGTTCCCCTCCCCCAATTCCCTAATAAAATCTTAAAAAAACAAACACAAAATCGATGGCATTACTATATAAAAACAATGAACATGTAGAAACCAAAATTTAAAATAATACCATTTATAATAGCAAAACATGTAGAGGATCTATATACTGAAAATCACAAAAAAGTTGATGAAAGACATCAAAGAAGGCCTAAATATAGAGACATACTATGTTCACTAATTGGAAAAATCAACATAGTAAAGATTAATCCTCTTCAAACTAGTAACATATAGGTTTAAAGTAATTTTTAGCAAAATCCCAATAAAGTTTCTTGTAGACATAGATAAGCTTACTCTAAAATTTACATGGAGAGGCCAGCCGAGTGGCTCAGTTGGTTAAGAGCTCGCTCAAGAGTGCAAGCTCTGAGCAACAGCGGTTTGAGTCCCAGCCCGAGCTGAGCTGCTGCTGATTTGCCAACAAATGATGGCAGGATGGCTCAGCTAAAATAATAATAATAATAAAATTTACATGGAAAGGCACAGGCCCTAGAACAGCTAAAATAAAATTTTATCTTGACAAAAAAGAATAAAATGGGAAAAATCACTCTACCTTATAGATATTAAAGCTTACTATATTATATAGCTACAATAATCAAGACTGTGATATTGGCAGAGGGATAGACACATAGCTCAATGGAACAGGGCAGATACTCACAAATATGCCCAACTAATCTGACAAAAGTGCAAAAGCAATTCAATGGAGGAAGCACAGCCTTTTCAACAAATGAGGCCAAAGCAATTAGACCTCCATAGGCAAAAAATAAACCTCAACCTAAACATCACACCTTATATAATAACTCAAAATAGATCATGGACTTAAAGTAAAACTATAAAACTTTTATGAAAAAAACATAGGAGAAAAGTTTACAGATCTAGGGCTCATAGAGTTCTAGCCTTCACACCAAAAAAATACAATCTATAAAAGAAAACAATGAAGGGCCAGCTGAGTGGCTCAGTTGTTTAAGAGCTTACTCAAGAGTGTGGTTTGATTCCTACATGGTCCAGTGAACTACGCCTAAGCTGAGCTGCCACTGAGCTGCCAACAGGTGGCAGGATTGCTCAGCTGGTGGGAGCATGTGCTCCTAACAACAAGACTGCCTGTTCCATGGTGGGCTGCTCCCACTCGCAACTAAGACTGAACTCTGTACCTTGAGCTGAGCTACCGCCTGGATGGCTCAGTGGATAGAACGAGACCTCTTAACAAAGAGGCTGCTGGTTCGACTTCCGCATGGGATGGTGGCTATGCCCACCCACAACTAATTGAACACAGCACCTTGAGCTGAGCGGCACGACTGGACTTGGAGCTGAGCTTGCTGTGTCCTCCACAACTAAGACTGATGGACAACAACTTGGCTGGTCCCCCTCCCCCATTTCCCAATAAAGCCTTAAAAAAAAGAAAACAGGGGCACCCCAGTCGGGACCCCCTCTCATTTCGAGAGCTGTAACTTTCTGCTCTAATAAAACTATCCTCTGCAAAAAAAAAATAGAAAGCAATGAAAAATTGGTCTTATAAAAATTAAAAAATTTTACTCTGTGGAAGCCTATGGGAAGAGCATAAAAAGAAAATATACAGACCTGGAGAAACTATTTGCAAACTGCATTATCTGACAAAGCACTAGAATCTAGAACATAGAAAGAACTCTCAAAACTCAACAGTTAAAAAAACAATTCAATGAAAATATAGGCAAAAGATATTTCACTGAAGAGAATATAGAGATGGCAAATAAGCACATGAAAAAGCTATAAAACATCATTAGCTATTAGGGAAATACAAACCCAAACCATATGGACGTATCTATCAGAATGAAAAAAAAATGATGACCATACTAAACACTGGCAAGGATGTGGGGAAACTGGATTACTCATCCATTGCTGGTGGTGATGTAAAATGGTACATCCAACTCACAGAACCCTACTCCCATGTTGGGAAGAGATCCATGCTGAGAATGTTCCAAGGAGGGAAATGCCTACTGTGCACATAGACTGAGCTGCCTTGTGTTATATGAGAGTATGAGGATGTGTTTGAGTGCTCTGTGTGTGTGTGTGTGTGTGAGAGAGAGAGAGAGAGAGAGAGAGAGAGAGAGAGAGAGAGAGA